GTCATTGTTGTTTGGCAGGCCTGGGCTGGATTCAAACCCGCCACCTTAGGTGTATGTGGCTGGTGCCTTAGCCACTTGAGCCACAGGCCCCGAGCCTATAATGTTAAACTTTAATAATAACAAATAATTTTGAGAACTGATTATCAAGAACTGCTTATCAAAGTTCATATTGTTGATCAGTTAGAATTTGACCACCATTGTTTGGACTTAATGAACAATGGCATTTTTTGGCATTGGCAACAATGAAAACATTTTGTAACTGTCTCTCAGACGATACACATTGTACTGTGTGCTAGTGCTAGTTAAACAAGAGATGTCAACAAATCAGCTATTCAGATAATTTAGGGAAGTAATTTATTTATTTATTTCATGAATTTAGCAGAAAGTACTCGTATTATCTATATTTTATAGTGGTGGCAAAAAGTCTAGTGCCAGCCTTGAAAGTGACATTTACGACTTATAAGGTATCATTATTAAAAAAATATATTGATAAGGAAAAGGTTAACTCTTGGGCATCAGCAAAAATCACAATAGAGAGCGAATGGTTAGAAATATTTCACCATTTTGAAACAAACCATGTTTTATAAAATAATGCACTAAAAAAAAAATTGTGGGATACGCGCTGTCCTTACCAGGAACTAATGCTACAACTGAACGTGTTTTTTCTACGGTAAATAAAGTGTGGACATCAGAAAAATCACAATTAAGTATTGAGACTTTGAAAGCCATTTTATGTGTGAAATATAATTTAACAAATTCTTGTGAAAAATTTCATGACCTTTTAAACAACTACAGCAATCTACTAAAAAAATTCATTCAAATGAGAAATATGCCGAAGAATAAAATAATACTATACATAATTTTTTTTTTTTTGGCCAGGGCTGGGTTTGAACCCACCACCTTTGGCATATGGGGCTGGCACGCTACTCCTTTGAGCCACAGGTGCTGCCCTATACATAATTTTTTTAATGTATTATATTTGTAAATTGTACTTATGTTGAAATTAAAATATATATATATACATATATATATTACAATACTATTTTTGCATTCTATGAAAATTTTTGTTGTTCCATATAGACCAAATTTTTAATTAAGAACACCCCACCCCACCCCCCGGTCAATGGTGTCCTGTTTTACCAATATTAAAATCTGGTCACCTTAGTCTACAGTCATACCACCCTCTATGTCTCTGATCTCAGAAGCTAAGCAGAGGTGGGCCTGAGCCTGATTAGTACTTGAATAACAGGTTAACAATTAGCTATGAGCCTGTCACCGCACACCAGCCTGGGAAGCAAAGTAAGACCCTGCCTCTTAAAAAAAATAAACAAATAAACATAAAAAAATCTTAAGTAAAGTTTAAAAAAAAAAAGTATCTCAACATTTTCTATATAGTATTATGAGTTTTTTACAATGTAGAACCATTAACCATTTCATTCACCCATCATACATTTAATCATTAGAAAAATCTCTACTCCTCTGATCCACCTCAATTTTCATTACAGTGTTTTATTTACTTGACATTTAGGATGTTTTAAATCTTGATAATTTTCAGACAGTTGACTCAGTGTCCTTAGAAGAGGACAGTGACTCAGATTACCTCAATGTATAAAAACATTCTCATGCTCTGCCCGTCATTGAAAGAGTTTCCTACCTCTCCTATTTCCATAAGTGGTTCATTCATATCTACACCACCATAGCCGTACTGAAGGTCAGCTTCTGTCAATTTATTCTTTTTAATAAACTGGGTGTTGAGATACCTGAAAAATAAATGTGAAATCATTGGATGTTAAGTCAAAATCAGCAGAAAAGCTAATAACTTATACCTTTAAAGTAATAATTTTAGGGTTGTAAATTAATCACACAATAGTCCAGTAAAAAGTCTAGAAGAAGCTAATTATGCAGAAATTACCAATATAATAAAAATTTAAATTATCAGTCCATCTCCCGGCAAGGCCCTAAGAGACAAAGAATAAGACCTCTAGAGTAGCAAAAATAAATAAAAAACTATTACCCCAGTCTCACTCAAAAACCTCAAGGGGTTTGCTCTAAAAATTCCCAACATCCTATAGTCCAACAGCTCTTCTCCAAGACCCTGACCTCCTACAGTATCATGTCCTAATTTCCAGACTCTTCCTGGTAAAGTCAAGATACAGTTCACTTTCTAAAATAAACAGAAAGGCTAAAAGATCAAATCAAGTCAGGTCTCCATATTTTATCACCAGAAAAAAATATAACTTCGCATTTTTAAACAAAAACAGACCATAATCAATAGGCAAGAAGATGGGATAGACAGTTACACACAGGAAGGGCACAACTGACAGACGTAAGATGACTTTGTCTAAAGAGGAAAACGCTTAAACATATTCTAAAGCTAATGACTACAATGAACTCTAAGAATAACTGAGATGACAGAGTTTTATCTTTATTTTAGACAGAGTCCTAAAATAAAGTATCTGTGGTAAGGACCGATAATGTTCAACTGTGCACTTTTTTTTTGATACAAAGCCTCAAGCTGTTGCTCAGGGTAGAGTGCTGTGGCATCACAGCTCACAGCAACTTCCAACTCCTGGGCTCAAGCAATTCTCCTGCCTCTACCTCCCAAGTAGCTGGGACTACAGGCGCCCGCCAGAACGCTATTTTTTGGTTGCAGCCGTCATTGTTGTTTAGCAGGCCCGGGCTGGATTCGAACCCACCAACTCAGGTGTATGTGGCTAGTGCCTTAGCTGCTTGAGCCACAGGCACCAAGCTGTGTGCACTTTTTACCATCCTAGATTTTAATGCTCACCACCTAAAACTACTCATCTGAAAGAGTCTACCAATGTGTAAATAGTTATTGATAATACAAGTATTTAGGTAACAATCATAAAATTTGCATATTAAAACATACACTTTCCAAGCCTTATTACACCAAAATGAAGGATCCACTTAGCATTTAAAGACCAGTGAAACTAAAACAAAGACAGGAAAAACTGCTATGGCACTAACTCCACCAATTTTGGGAGACAATGAAAAATATAAATCCTAGAATCAACTCCATTGCGGTATATCTACAACTATTTAAACAAGCTCCTCTTCAAAATTCACTAGTGGCAGAACTCTGGAATCCAAGGCTTATAACCTAGATGTGCCACCTGGCATTTTAGTCTCTTCATAGTACTTACTGCTATGTGACATAACCCTATTCTTTCACTGGTTTACTTTTTTTGTAAGTCCACCTTCTCTCCAGAATGTAAGGCATTCAGAACAAAGCATGCAGAACTAGCAGGCAAATACCAAGTTCACAAAAGGTACCTGTCCCAAGAATTATTGAATAAGTAAATGGATAACATTCCAGATAGCAGGGACAGCACAAGCTAATGTTAGAACAGGAACTTAGAAAAGGAGCCAGGAGCTACATCATAAAAGCCACACGTGCCAGGAAATGAAACTAATCTCTAACATTTATGGAGATCACATGTCAGACACAGCCTAATCCATCGTATACGACTGAATACTACGAGCCACATGTCATGCTACTACGATCCTCTTTTTATACAGCAGACAACTGCAGCCTAGGGAGGTTAATGAGCTTGCCAGAGGTCAATCTGCTAGTGAATGGCAGAACTGGCATAGAAACTCAGGAGTCCTCCCACTCTCATCCAACAAGCCTTGGACAAGAGGGTGCTACATGCAAGGTACGCCAGGTACTAGGGACAAAAAAATGGAAAACAAAACATCTCTGCCCACAAAAAAATCTTCCATCTCTGCTAGAACATACGAACCAATGTAACACTTTAACAATGACGTATACTTCCTAAGTAGAGGGAATGTAATTGTCATATCTTCATGGTTTATACACACCCTTCTATCTGGAATCATTGCTCCAAGCCAGTTTTCCTTCATGGCCATCCTATCCCTTCCTAATGTTTCCTGAAACATCGGCATTACTTACCCCATCCTTCCATTTTTGTCTCCTGTCACCCACCAGTCACTCTTTCCATCTTCCTCAACTAGTCACTATCTCTTCCCATTGCCAATGCCACTTGGTGACCCTCTGCTTACATCATGAGCAATACTCTTATGACTAGTCTGCTTCCAGTTTCTGGTAGCAAAAACTCCTGCTTTAAGGACATCACTTCCCAATTCAGGATTCTACAGTAGCTCCTTTATCCCCATATATTAGGTTTTTAAGGATGAAATGCCCGATTTCCTTAAGTTCTATGTTTGATACCTGGCATCCCTGACACTTCACTTTGACACTTTTTTTTATTGCAAAGGCACATCCTCATTCCTTCAAATGCACGTTTTTGTCTTGCAATTATCTTTCAAAAAAAATTTTAGAGCAATTTTTTTGAAATCATGGGTAAGTCAAAAAAAACGCTTGTGGCTCGGCGCCTGTAGCTCAGCAGCTAGGGTCGCCAGCCACATACACTAGAGCTGGTGGGTTTGCATCCCGCCCGGGCCTGCCAAACAACAAGGACAACTACAACAAAAAAATAGCCGGGCCCTGTGGCAGGCACCTGTTGTCCCAGCTACTTGGGAGGCTGAGGCAAGAGAATCACTGAAGCCTAAGAGTTTGAGGTTGCTGTGAGTTGTGATGTCATAGCACTCTACCCAGGCCAATATAGTAAGACTCTGTTTCAAAAAAAAAAAAAAAAAATTCTTATTATTTTTGAATATAAGTTCCAAGGTGGAACCAATACAGCACAGACACCTCAAAATACCAATAAAGTTTTGGGGAAGGATTGTGGCTAATGAACCCATAGTACATGGATGGTTTGAGAAGTTCCACTCTGGTGGTTTTAATCTTGAAAGAGTCCTGGGAGGACCTGAGCCCAAAGTGGATAATGATGAGCTGAAAGGTATAGTGGAAGCTAATCCATCTTTACCTACACAGCAAGGTTTGATGTCACTACTCCAACAACACGGGACCATTTGAAACAAATCACCAAGGTAAAATAAAGAAGCTGGATAGATGGGGTCCTCAGGAACTTAATGAGCATCAGAAGAGAAATCATCTCAAAGCTGTCACAGCATAAAGGTGAGCCATTTCTACACTGTACTGTTACATGTGGTAAAAAATGGATTCTTGGGCAGCACCCGTGGATCAAGGAGTAGGGAGCCAGCCCCATATACCGGAGGTGGTGGGTTCATATCTGACCCCAGCCAAAAACTGCAAAAAAAAAAAATGGATTCTTTTTCACAATTGCAAGCATTTGGCACAAATGATTAAAGATGAAGGGCTAAAACACAGTCCAAAACCAAATATTCATTCCAAAAAGAAAAACCCACTAATGGTGTCTATCTGGTGGTCCAGCACCACAGCAGTATCCACTACAGCTTCACGAAACCTGGTCAGTCAATTACAACCGATGTCTACTGCCACCAACTAGACAACAGGATGAGGAGGCTTGCGATTAAGCAGCCAACACTGGTCAACAGGGACGGGCCACTCCTCTTGTATAGCACTTAACCACATGTCACAAAAATGATGCCGCTCAAACTAGAGAATCCCTCTGTCATTCACCACATTCTCCAGACCTCCCACTAAGAGACTCCCACGGCTTCCAGGCTTGGGCCACTTCTTGCAAGGAAAAGCATTCAATTATCAATAAGCTGTGGAAAATGCCTTTTGCCATTTCACAGCCATCCACTCTCTGGGATTCTTCACTACTGGCACACAGAAGCTATTTTTTAGTGTGTATGTGTTTGAGACAGAGTACCACTCCGTTGCCCCAGGCTAGAGTGTCCATGGGGCACAATAACCTCAAACCCTTGGGCTCAGGCAATTCTGCTTCAGCCTCCCAAATAGCTAGGACTATGGGCACCCACCATAATAATGTCCGGCTAATTTTTCTATTCTTAATAGAGATGGGGGCCAAGCTCTTGCTCAGGCTGCTCTCCCAACTCCTGATCTCAAGAGATCCTTGGGCCTCAGCCTCTCACAGTGCTAAAATTACAGGCATGAGCCACCATGTTCAGCCCACAAGCTACTGTTAGGATGGAAAACTGTGTCAATAGTTGAGGTGCCCACTTTGATCAACTGTACTGCTCCTTGTTTAAGATATAATAAACCAAATCTTTCATTCTAAACCAGACATTTTAGATTTAATCAGCGTAAACTTCTTAGCATAGTGAATTCTTCACTCTAAGAAATAGCACCTAGCCAGGCACTGCGGCTCACTATAATCCCAGCATGTGGGAGGCTGAGGAGGGAGAATTGCTTGAGCTCAGGAGTTTGAGACTTGCCTGAGTGAGACTGAGACCCTTACTCCTAAAAAAAATGAAAAACCCAGCTGGGTGCCGCAGGGAGTGCCTGTAATCCCAGTGACTTCTGGAGACTGAGGCAGCAGGATGCCCACAGCTGGAGAGTCTGAGGCTGCAGTGAGCTGTGACGTCATTGTACTCTGCTCAAGGCATAGGCTGGGACTCTGTCTCAAAAGAAAAAAGGAAAAGAAAGAGAAACAGCAGCTAGACAGTCACAGTGGCACACACCTGTAATCCTCGCACTCTGGGAGACCAAGGCAGATGAACTGCTTGAGCTTAGAAGTTCAACAATAGCCTAACCAAGAGCAAGACCTCATTTCTACTAAAAATAGAAAAACTAGCCAGGTGTTATGATGGGCACATAGAGTCCTAGCTACTTGGGAGAGTGAGGCAAGAGAATCCCTTGAGCCCTTGAGTCTGAGGTTGCTATGAGTTATGACACCACAGCATTCTACCCAGGACCACAGAGTGAGACTCTGTCTAAAAAAAGAAACAGACGCTAGATTAAGTCTGGGTTCACTACCCCATTCCAAAGAAGTGGATGTCACAGCCACTGCTCTCTTCCCCTCACACGATACAATGTAAACTAACTTACAGTAACTATATAGTTTCTTCGTCCAGAGTTCTACTTTGTTTTTCTTATAGGAAATATCTTTATTTGAAAAAGTAATGAAGGCATCCTAAAACCTTAAGCAGGATTCTGAACAGGTACGCCCACAGACTAGATAAAAATAAATACACACATCTGCCCTACCCTCTGAGGTGGGCCTGGATGAACACTGTGGGGAGGCTATCCTTTATCATAGGAGTCTTTGAAGTCATATAAATACAGAATACACTACAGTAGAGCAGTATTAAATAGTCACTGAATTTTTTTCTTTTTGGAGGTACTGGGGGATGAACCCCGTAGTCACTGAATTTTTCTAACTCCATGTGTAAACAGATAAAAGTTCTCTATATGTAACATATAGCAGTCCCATCCCCAGGTGGCCTAGCATCTGTCCTGATAAATTTCTACTTTTTTTTTTTAAGACTGACTCTGGCTCAGTCACCCTGGGTAGAGTACCATGGCATCATAGCTCACAGCAACCTCAAACTCTTGGGCTTAAGAGATTCTCTTGCCTCAGCCTCCTTAGGAGCTAGGACTACTGGCGTATGTCACCACGCCCAGCTATTTTTCTATTTTTAATAAGAGACAGGATCTCACTCATGCTCAGGTTGGTCTCCAACTCCTGAGCTCAAGCAATCCACCCACCTCGGCCTCCCAGAGTGCTAGGATTACAGGTGTCAGCCACCACACCTGGTCCAGACTTCTACTCTTGATAGTTTAAGTTTGCTAAGGTTTTAAAATCATCATAATTTAAAATGTAAACACAATTTTTAACTTTGATATGGGTACCATTCTTAATTTATTGTACAGGTCACTATACAATAATTGTAGAATTTTACAATCAAATGTCCTAGCCACACGTTGGTTTCTTAATAAAGATATATATCCTAGAAAAATCATAAAACAAAAGATCTCTCAGTAATTTTCTTAGAATAGTTTACACACTACCCCAGAGGCAATACCTAATTGTTCTATTCAAGTATAATGTACACGTGTTCTTTACTTTTCTGCAGCATTAACACTACAACTAACAATTTTAATTGTTAAATTAAACTGACAAGAACTGATAACCTAGGGTAAATTAGAGCCTCTGAAATCAGGCATTCCAGTCTATCCAAGAAAATTTCATCACAAGAATAATTCTCATGCTGATATGTACTAGAATTTCAAGGGTTATTTATTCCCAAGCCAGATCCTTTCTTAAGGACTCACCTCCACTGTCCAGTTTAAACAGATTCAGAAAGCAATTGAGACGAATGGGGCAGGAGCTCATGTTTTTCTTTAAAATCAAGATCTCTAAGTCACTTATACTTAGAACAGCCATCTTATGAAATCAGAACAAAGAATGGACTAGCAATGACTTCGAAAAAATACTACTAAAAAATGTTTGTGAAATTAAGAATGATTTCATTCTCTTTACATTTCATTCTAAATTTCCTTATAAAATTGTGACTAGAACCCAGGGATTGCCTGGATTACACAGCTACCAAGTATATAAAATACAGTTACACAGTTTTCATCTAATTACTGTCAACTGTGTCCTCTAAGAAAAGGATTTTCCACTTATCCTACCAATATAATTATATAAAATAATGATCAGACCCACGATGCCAACACTACAGAAGCCAAACAAAACAGCCATGTAGACGGTGCCTGTGGCTCAGTGGACAGGGCGCCAACCCTATACACTGAGGGTGGTGGGTTCGAACCCAGCCCCAGCCAGCTAAAACAGCAGTGGCAATTGCAACAAAAAAGCCGGGCATTATGGTGGGCATTATGGCAGGCGTTGTGGCAGGCGCCTGTAGTCCCAGCTACACGGGAGGCTGAGGCAAGAGAATCGCTTAAGCCCAAGAGTTGGAGGTTGCGATGATCTGTGACGCCACAGCGCTCTACCGAGGGTGACAGCTGGAGACTCTGTCTCAAAAAAAAAGTCTGTAAACTGACTCCTATGGGCCATCAGTTCTAAGTCTTTGTTAGATGTGGAAAGTTACTAAATGATTTGAGACAGTGATCTAATTTGTGCTTTAAGAAAGATAATGTAAAAGGTTCTCTAGATAGAATGAATGAGAAATCAAAAGCCACAAGACCAATTACAGGGATTTTCTCATTAATAGGACAGGCACAAGCTGATAAAAGGCTTCAACTACAACAGTGATGCAAAGGAAAGGATTTAAGAGCTACTTGAGGATTTGACCAATAGGGTTGAGAAGATAAACCCGAGTGAAATGTTACTGAGCGTTCTGGCTCACATGATTACTAATAACTAAAACTGGTTAATACTGGGTAAGCACAGAGTGTGTATAAAGGACGCCAAGCTCAGTTTTGAACATCTGCAGTAGGACAACGTGCCTACGGAACAGCCTCCAAGCACACTCTCTAAATAAACTCCTCTGAAACTTAGACCACATAGGATGAACACATATCTGGGTGGTTATCAATACTCAGGTTGTAGCTAAAGCCAGGAGTAATTAAGGTCCCCCAGAAAGAACATGTAGCGCAGGCCCCCCTCATTTTGTGGTGCTGCATTGTGCTGTGCTTTATCGCACTGGGCAGAGATCAGTGTTTCACATGTGAAAGGTTTGTGGCAACCCTGCCTTTTTTAACAGCAGGTGCTCACTTTCGGTCTCTTAGACACTTCGGTAAATCTCATCATATTTCAAACTTACATCTGTTACAGTGATCTGTGTTCACTCATCTTTGATGTCCCTATTGTAAATGGGGGCAAGTATGTGGGCCATAAACTGTGCCTAGTTTTTTTTGGGTCGTTCCACCTCGAGTAGGGAACACACACCCTAATCCCTTCCATGAGACAAAAACTGCAAAGGCCTAATAACCTTGCCCCAGGGGAGGGACTGCATTCAACTTTGAAAGGATATTTTTCCACCTACCAAATCCTAGCCAAAGTGTAATTCTCCAGACAATATATACCCCTAGACAAAGAACCCAAGAGAGATTTCCGACTTGGCTCTGCCCCCTTTGCCAGAGGCTCTGGAGATTTTTTACTGCTTCTGTATTCCTTCCTGTCTAATAAAATCCTATCTCACTACTAAAAAAAAATAAAATCACAAAAATCCTAAGACCCTTAAGAATTATGCTGAATCTATCCAGCCTCTGTTCTAGAAATGGAAAAACAAAGCCAGAAGGCTAATACGTCTGTTTATAGCATGCTGTGGTGAATATTTCAAGCCCACTGTTGAGACCTACTGCTCAGGAAAAAAGATTCTTTTTTCACCGGAGAGTGAAATGACAATGCACCCGGTCACCTGAGAGCTCAGAAGAAGATGTAGAAGAGATTGATGTTGTTTTCATGCCCACTGACACATCATTCTACAGCCTACAGATCAAGGTGTAACTTTCTGGAAAGGATTCACTACTCTAGATGTCATTAAGAACATTCATGATTCCAGTAGGCTGTTAAGGGTGGATCGCCTGAGCTCAGGAGTTCAATACCAGCCTGAGAAAGCACAGGATACCATTTCTAAAAACTGCCAGGCACTGTGGCAGGTGTCTAAAGTCCCAGCTACTTGGACGGCTGAGGCAAAAAGATCATTTGAGCCCAGGAGTATGAGGCTGCTGTGAGCCATGATGAGCTCTATGATGAGTGCTATGAGCACTCAACCCCAGGCAACAGAGTAAGACTCTGTCTTAAAAAACCAAACCAAACAAAATGCACCAGCATTTGTTATTCAGAGAATGGGAGAAAAGCAACTGAGGCAGACAGAATAGCATGAGGAAAGACGAGAAGATTGGCAAGACCATGGGGCATGCATTATGAACTAATTCGATATGCCTAGAGAACAGGACAGGAGAATTTCAAGAGAAAAACTGCTGAGTACCTTAATAAAGGTAATCATTCTCCCAAACACAAAATATTGAATACTGGAGACAAATAACATTTGGAGGAGTCATAGGCTTAGAATGACTCCTCAAAGTTTCACGTGAATTGAATTTTTGGTGATTGCTATCAAGATTTAACATGTTCCAGATGACGGGCAGAAACAACGCCATGCTAGTTAATACAGTTTTGCTTTTCACAGAACAACTTTCCACACACTCCCTGGCTGTGAAGTATCCACCTGACTCAAGACTACAGAAGTTTCTCCATAGCAAAAAAGAGTCCATGTTGGAGGGCTTGTTTCAGTTCTGCACATTTCAATGAGAAATAGGTAATAAAAACATTACTTCTTCAATCACTGAATGCAGATAATACTATTTAGACTGTAAAGATTTTAAAAGCGTACTTACCTATATAAGCAGTCCATATAGTCTGCACCCTTGCTATATTCTTCCCAATACCTATGATACATAACAAGCACTTGTTCTTCAGACTCCAGAACTGTCTGTATAAAGAAGAAAAATATTTTTACTTGGAAATCACTGATCATTTTCACTATAAACTATGAAATATATCAAAATTAATGTTCTAAGATAACGCATATAATTCAAGCATGATAAATTATATCTACCAGTTACATTTTAATTTCACTACCTTTAGTATAAATGAAACAACTGCCAATGACTTAGATATCAGGCCAGCTGCAGTGGTTCACGCCTGTAATCCTAGCACTTTGGTAGGCCAAGGCAGATAGATTACCCAAGCTCAAGAGTTCAAGATCAGCCTGAGCAAAGTGAGATCCCCATCTCTACTAAAAATAGGGAAAAAAAACCAAACAACTATCTGGGCGTTTCAGTGGACACCTATAATCCTAGCTACTGAGGAGGCTTAGACAAGAGGATCACTTGAGTCCATGAGTTTAAGGTTGGTGTGAACTATAATACCACGGTTCTCTACCTAGGGTGAGTGACTGAGTGAGGCATGAAACTCAAAAAATTTTTTAAAAATTAAAAATATTAAAATATATAAATAGGCTTAGCACCTGTAACCCAGTGGCTAGGGCACCAGCCACATATGCCAGAGCTGGCGGGTTTGAATCCAGTCCAGACCTGCCAAACAACGA